TAGTGCTTCGCTTTGTTACAAGAGACATTTGGTATAGAAGCAATAGCTTCTGGGGAGAATATCCCAACAAAAAACTAAGGGAACTGATGAGGATCAGTGGCGTGATCCGAAACTATAGTCTTCCCTGCCTTACCCCTCGGCAAACAATGCCATACATTCCCCACTAATAAATAGTTGTTTTTTTATAAAAACAACAAACTGGGATTCAGCCTGACTATTTTGCAAAAACAAAATACAAATGGTATCCCAAATAAACCGCCAACACTACTGAAGTTGTAGACGCAGGCACGGTTGAACTGTTTGGTTTGTTGCTGTATACTAGCAACACCAACAAAGTCGTTGTGTGCATTTGTCGCGATGTGACAACACACAACAGTGGGAAAGGTGTGGTATTGTTTGTAAATGCCTTGTTAACCTCGAAGTGAGGCTCCAACGAAATTCTCATGCAGTTTATGTCGTTGGTCAGCTAAGTACTTCGCTTTGTTACAAGAGACATTTGGGTATGAAAGGTTTTTTGTATAGAAGCAATAGCTTCTGGGGAGAATATCCCAACAAAAAACTAAGGGAACTGATGAGGATCAGTGGCGTGATCCGAAACTATAGTCTTCCCTGCCTTACCCCTCGGCAAACAATGCCATACATTCCCCACTAATAAATAGTTGTTTTTTTATAAAAACAACAAACTGGGATTCAGCCTGACTATTTTGCAAAAACAAAATACAAATGGTATCCCAAATAAACCGCCAACACTACTGAAGTTGTAGACGCAGGCACGGTTGAACTGTTTGGTTTGTTGCTGTATACTAGCAACACCAACAAAGTCGTTGTGTGCATTTGTCGCGATGTGACAACACACAACAGTGGGAAAGGTGTGGTATTGTTTGTAAATGCCTTGTTAACCTCGAAGTGAGGCTCCAACGAAATTCTCATGCAGTTTATGTCGTTGGTCAGCTAAGTACTTCGCTTTGTTACAAGAGACATTTGGGTATGAAAGGTTTTTTGTATAGAAGCAATAGCTTCTGGGGAGAATATCCCAACAAAAAACTAAGGGAACTGATGAGGATCAGTGGCGTGATCCGAAACTATAGTCTTCCCTGCCTTACCCCTCGGCAAACAATGTCATACATTCCCCACTAATAAATAGTTGTTTTTTTATAAAAACAACAAACTGGGATTCAGCCTGACTATTTTGCAAAAACAAAATACAAATGGTATCCCAAATAAACCGCCAACACTACTGAAATTCATTATTTTGTTTAAAAAAAAGATATAATAATGTGTTTTCATGGCAAAATCTCAAAAACATCATACACAGAAAAAAATAATTTGTATATTAAATGAATAGTGTTCAGAAAGTGTTGCCAATGTCGAGATTCCTGCATTTTATGAACGCAATCCATAAAACTTTAAATACTGGTTTCTTTTCAAGGAGATTGAGAAAGAAAAAAAACCTTTTTTGAGCGTTTGGTGTTGGCGCGTTTTTTGAATGACACAGGGAGAGAGAGAAACTCTAACTCTTTCATTTCTTGTTATGTCTTTCTTTTCTCGTCTTGTTCTTTTTATTTATTTACTTACGTGTTCTTTTTTTACGTCAGTGGAACCAATTATTACAAATGTAAACACTCGGCTTGTTGCTCAACGCACTTGTTTAACAAATCAACACTTGATTGGCATATTGTATTTTGCATATATACAAACATAATTAGGAAAATGCATATGTGAATTTTATAACACCAATGCAGCGTTCGGTAGCAGTGAGTGAAATAAGGAAACAATGGAATACAAAACTAACCACAATCTAGAGATAGGCGAGACGTTGCAAAACTAACATACAGCAAGTGTGGTGAGGGGGGAGGACAATACCAAAACAAAACACAGCCGAACAAGGAATGGTTGCTGTGTTTTTTCTTGGGAGCAATACATTTTAAGAATTTTTACTTGTATTCAAAGCTTGGTACATGTACAATATGGAAAAAATAATCTATGAATGAAATTATGAAAATATTCATTAAAATGTTTTTTCTGTGTATGCGTTCAAACGAATGTCCACTACTGTATAAGATAGATTGAAATCACCTAAAACCACACAATGGTCGGTATTAGCCATTTCGTATAATACTGCATCAGATGCAGGAGGAATATAAGAGCAAGTAGTAAAGTATTTAGAGGTACTTTAACTTATGCACACTGCTACAAATTCAATTTCATCGCAGGCATTAAGTGTTACGAAATTTGCGAGAAATTTACTCGAATCAGCAATGGGAACGCCACCACCTTTCTTATTGTAGCGATATTTTCGAAATATATAAAATGTAGGACGGAGAATTTCTGTGTTCAGGGTTGTATTCTTCAATCACGTTTCTGTGAATGCTATAAAACCAATTTCGATGTCAAAGCTATCACTAAATATACTGTTACGTTCTTGGATTTTACTTAATCCCGTATAGACGTTGTTTTATTTCCCAATACAGTTCGTACTAAATAAAACGCGGGTTCTTACTGATTACGATTATTACAATGATTTTATTGACACAACTTTACTTTGCACTTTACTTTACTTGACGGTTTCAATTCGCGATCTTATTCACAACTGACTAACTGCCTTGCCATTTCCTCTATTTATATGAGCCTTGCCTGTCGCTACAGAAGTTTCTAGATGATCTGGTAACACCTAGATTATGAACAATCTACCAATGCAACAAACACATACAAACTTACATTGGGTGAACAATAACAACAACACATATACAGGCGAGGGGGTAACAAAGAAAGAGGAATTAAGCGATCATCAATGATGACGTTTAACAAGAATTGTACGTCAATAACAAAATAGAAAACGAAAGAGGAAATGGAAGGATGTAGAAAAATCTATACAGTAGTTGTTGTTGTGAAGTTATTCGAATAAACTGCGTAGTAGAAATTTACGTTACAATTCAAATTCTTAAATTAACGGAATTCATCTAAATTAACTTAAATCTAAAGTTATATTCGTAACAATACGTTGTAATTTCGAATTAGACTTCGTACATTTTGTTAGTAAGAGAACATACGTTTCTGTGGTTTATTGCTACACTCAATAAAATTATTAGGGTGAGAATGTAAGGAAGTTTTTAGTTTTGTAAAAATGGAATACTAACAGGCCTGACAATATTAATTTTTACTCTGTAAACGAATTCTTTTACTAGTTTGGTTTTGGCCCAAAAGGATTTATTAACATTTTAGAACAATTTTAAACGACTTATAAATCTTAATTTCATTTTCAGCAACAACAGCTATTTTCAATTACGTTAACATTTTCGCTGCGTAGCAACGGTAAAAAAGACGCCGAAAGGGCAAGATGGATTTTTCATCTTGAAGATTTATTAGGGTTGTGGCGTGGCTGAACCACAATTGATGTGTTTAGGCTGTCGCTCATGGTGATAATTCGTTTCTTCGTTTCGGAGATCCATTTGCATACTCAAAGTTCAAATACTTAAAATCTTTAATACGTGAATATATTGATTCGATTTTGTTCTTCATAGCAACTATCTCTGCTTTGGATTCTTTAAAATGACGATAAAATCACTTTCTAAAGGTCTACAAGCGATACTTGTCCAGAAAATTCCATTTTTTTGTAATTATATCAAAGTTGCTACCCTTTACACCTAAGCATGTTTTTACACGACAAACACGCCTTTCTGTTTGGTTGCTAAAATAATATTACAGTCCTTGTATAAACAATATTATTTCACAATTAAGCGTCTTAAGCATAACATAAGATGCTAGATTTTATAGCGTCAAAAATATATAAACAACCTAAAGAAAGTAGTAAAGTCGGATAGGGCCGATTATATGATACGCTTCACCACTATGGGTATATTTAAAAGATGCATCCTAACAGAAGGGCCATTAACATTAAATTGAATGAACTAAAATAGTTGATCTTTATCTAATTGTCAACCGACTTAGATCAATCCATAAACATGTCTTTCGTGTAGAAGTACATCTACACGCGATTACGTCATTCTATTCTGAAAAAAATGAAGAGTTGCACCATTCACTTAAAATCGGATGAAAATAGAAAAGGAACCTATATCCAAATATGAACCGATTTCAACGAAACATGATTAATTTCAACACATTTTGTTCCTAATGGACACATTTTCGGTCCTACTTAAAATTGGACGAAACTATATTGGAGCTATATCTAGACGGATTCCTACTATGAAGTACGTTGTGCCAAATTTTGTGTCAATCGGTATAACGTCTTTGGTGCACCATTTATTTAAAATCGCAAGAAAATATATATGGGAGCTATATCTAAATCCGAACTGATTTCAGCAAAACTTGACATGTTATGTTATACAAACTTTAGGCCTTAAAATCGGATAATTTTCAGGAAAATTTACACACATCATTCTAGATTAGATTCAGTACGCTTTGTCAAATTTCGTGCAAAATTAAAATTAAATCAGGCGAAAATATATGGGAGCTTTATCTGATCTGAACCGATTTTCACGAAACTTAACACAGATCATTCTAGACTTAATTCAGTACGCTATGGTACACCATTTAAATCGGGTGAAAATATATATGTGAGCTATATCTAAATCTGAACTGATTTTCAAAAAAAATTACACATATCATTCTAGACTCAAGTCAGTACGCTATGTCAGATTTCGTGGAAATACAAAGATATATAGTGAATTTGGGGAGCCATTTACATTCACTTATAGATAAAGATCACACATTTAACTTCGTTCAATTTCATCTCAATATTCCTTCGATGGAATATTGACATGAAAGTGTTGGGATACAGTTGTACAATATACTCAAAGTGGAGAAAAATCTCATATAGTCGGCCCTGTCCAACTTTACTACTTTCCATAAAGTTTTTTTTTTTTTTTTTTGTGGTATGATCCATTTATTATATTATGTATTAGCATAAAACTACAAATTATTTGAATGATTTTTATTGTAGTTTTTATTAAACTTAACCAAACTTTTTCATCAAAACACAGGATAACTAATGATGCGAGAGAGGATGAAATGGAGGAGAATATGGGTCAAGTCAACACAATGATTGGAAATCTTCGAAATATGGCACTCGATATGGGATCAGAATTAGAAAACCAAAACCGTCAAATTGACAGAATTAATAGAAAGGTAAAAATAATTACATATTGTATATATATATATATATATATATGATCGGTGATAATATGTTTCTTTTTAGGCGGAATCCAATGAGGCAAGAATAGCTGTAGCAAATCAAAGAGCGCACCAACTTCTGAAATAAATAATTATTCTTCCTTCAGTTGTTACTGTGATACGTACAAAGAAGTATATATGCATATATGTAGAGGGGACAAATGATCACAGATGAGACTTTTTACCAAAGTTTATGTATATGCCTTGCTACGTATTGCCCATACATTTTTGCTCACTCTGAAATGTAAAAGTGGTTAGAATATAAAGTAATGGCAAGGACATATATGTATACTCCATGTTGATTCTGCTTAACAACAAATATGTATATATTAATAAAAACATTATTTCTTATAAAAGTAGACTCCTTTATTCATTGTCTTCATTAATTTCTATTGTAATGAAATATGTCAAGTCATAAATGCAGACATGGGTAAGTAGCTTATATGTGGTTTAATTCTCAAAAAATAAATCTTCTTTTGAATCGCCCGTTCATTCCTTGTAGAATATATATACCATCATATTAAATTCCAATACTCATCACCAGGGATGGTCCCTTTATGAATTATGTGAAATTCAAAAACGAAATATAGCTGTATGTAATGTAGATATCATTTGATTAAAAAAATGCAATATGTAGTTTTTAATAGTACATAAAATCCTACTTATTTCTGACTATTCCTAAACAGTCCAGAGAAAAAGTGAAAATTTCGACAATTTACTTGGGTTTAATTAAGCTACTTATAACTTCTACATTTACTAATGTAAAAAAACTCATTTGCCTAAAACCTAATAGGGGAAACCTCTTTCAAAAGTTTCTCCATATCTATATGGCTGTTGATTTTCTACAGACGGAGCAACAATTTTGTCCATTTTTTGTCCCAAGGAAAGGCAAAAATCCATCAAATACCTAAAAGTACAAAATCAACCCATGCTGGAAGAAGGCAACGATTGATCATATCAACAAAACCACCAGCAATAATCTCCACGAAAGAATGAACATCCATATAAATTTCTTATTATGGAAGAAGGTAGCAGCGAAGAAAATGTACCTTCTTGGTTAGGAATTAATATATCAAATACAAACTTAGATATATTCCGGAACGAAAAAAAAAACACAAAAATACGTTCCCAACTAATAATTTTCCAAATTTAACGGACTTTCCCTTAAAGAATCATCGTTTCAGTAACCACCTTTGGCAAATGTACACTGGTATGCACAACCCCCAGCGTTCGTATATAAACCTCAACGGCAAATGGGCAGTCAACCACACAAATGGATGTCGCGAAAAGTAAACAGTAAATATTGTATGTTAATGGTTTTACCGAAGTAATTAGGAAGTGTCGCTGTTCTCTTCGCGAGCAAAGAACATTGTGCGAGCCCATATTAATAAATACCAACAACAACAGTGTAATTGTGAAAGACAACACACAACAACAGTGTAATTGCGGAAGACAACAACAACAAAATTCAAGGAGGAATACTTTTGGTTTTTGCTTTGCGAACTCAAGCGGTATCTTTGAAATATATTTACATGTGGCTGATTGAGTCTCGTTATAATTTGGTCTTCTTGTGTGTTTTGGATGAACAAAGTAATACAGGGTTGCCACATATTGAGAATATTTAATTGCCGGGAACGGAAAAACGACCAATAAATTAAGTCTGTCTACCTGAATTGAGATTCATTTTTGTTTTTGTGATCAAATAATTACATTTTCTATGGAAAGTACCTCTACTAGTGGAGCAGGAGAATCAAAACAACTCGTCTCTGGTTTTTCCTTAAGAACTACCTATCCTAATATAACATATCCTAATATTATGCACATAAGAGATAACTATTGTCCCTATGACAAGTGTGTTCATTTGTTTACATTACCAAATGAGCGCACCAATATCTTTGTGTGTGGGCTGCTATTAATTCTTCATTATCAGCTCACACACACATAAAACCGCATTGTAGTGATCTCTATTTACTCACCCGCTGAGGATATCCTTTATTAGCTATGCGTCTTCAGCAGCATGGAGTGTTATCATCCCTTATGCGTATACATACACACACAAATAGATTCTAGGATTGATTACATATTAGTTCTGAAACTTAAATATTATTTATGACATGTTTCAAAAATCCTAAACTAATACCACAAATGACATGTTCATATTTTTACGAAAAACTAGGAAAAGAATTTCGATGACGTAGCTGCAGCATCGACAAAGGAAAATATATCCAATAAACAAAGCGAGTTATTTTCATCGCGGAACAACACATTTTTTTGTATTGCCCCTTGAATTAAACCACTCTATAAAATACATTTGAAATTGGTCGATCCGTATTTCAAACGACATGTGCCCATAGACATGATCATCGGCAGCGACTATCTCCCATGCCTAAACCAGAGAGGTGTTCTGGACGATATTGGGCTCGGCCAATCTCACATTCAACTAGGAGACATGACTCAAGTTTGGAATGAAAACTCCAGGCAATCGAGCTTCTTTTTGCCACATTATGCGGTAATCCGCCCTGAAAGTACGACAACCAAAGTTCGAGTGGTCTTTAATAGTCTTTAATCAATGAGAGGGTTCTCCTTGAATGATATTTTACATTCCGGACCGGAGTTATAGCAAGGCATTATTAAGGTCTTATTTGGTGATTCTATCAGTTTGTGTTTAACGGCGACATACAAAAAATGTATCGCCAGATATGGGTACACGAGGATTTAAATGTAGTGTTTGTGTTTCTCTGTTTGTATTCTTGTAGTGCACTGTAAATTCCTTTGTGTTTTGTGTTTCTCGTTGTCACCTTATGTTTTGATGTCACTGTGGCTTGTAAGCAATTTGTGTTCTGTGTCTGGAAAAGATTGTCAAATTTTAGTGATTATCACTTTAACATTTGCTACACTTGGTACGGGGGAGGGATCACTTTTATTTGCGAGCACTTGAAAAAACGAAACGAAACTGAAACTCACCAAATTTGCATTTTCACAGCAAACCAGTTTGAGCTGTAACAATGCCTATTTACTGGAATCCAGCTTTGGAACTTACCGGTGGCGATATAAACATATGTGTGTTGATGTGCGAAAATTACATTGTTTATGTGTGTATTTTCACAATGCCGCACATGTTTATATAGCCGCCCCAAAAAAAAAAAAAATGATCCCCAGCTTTGGTCTTTTTGTGACAGTACTCCAATGCTGGATATAAACATTTTTCCGCCGATAGAAATTCGGACGACAGCTTTGTGCTGTTTCTTTTATTATGTTTCTAAACGTTTCTGGACCCCGCGTAACAAGTGTAATTAGGATAAAATTAAAAAATATTATACTTAAGTCCGGGGCATGTTTTTTATGGGTCCAGCGAACACGTATCCCAGCTTAGTGTGGTATGCCAAAACGTCGGCAAAGCCTGTGTCTGAACACCCCTCCTTCCGTATTGCCGAGTAAGTGTCGGCCCAGCTCAACGTCAATCTGTGTGTTGGCCCTCAGGTCGGTATCAGCCAGCTCACCGTTGGTATAGTTTACTGTCGGATCCTCCAAAATCGGATCTGAATATATTCTTCTGCGGAGGTTGTCGATGATAAGAGCGTTGACCTTGAGGGACCAGGTACTAGTGGGTCGTCAGGGCAGTACAGTGAAGCTGGCGAAGCGCTCCCCTTTGTACGTCCGTGCCTGCAGGCCCATGCGACGGAAAGCGGCGTAGGAGACCTTGGACATCGTCGCAGAGTGACTGATGATGGCTCTTACAATATTGAACCCCAAGATCCCGTCAACCCGTAGACGCACAATTGCTGTTGGCGCAAACACCAGGTCCCAGGCGAAGGCGGGTTCGGTGGCAACCTCGATGTTTAGCGGCCTCTCTTCGAGTTAAGATGCCCCGTGCAGCAGAGAGTGGTGCCGATTCTGACATCTACGGTAACTAGTTGATGATGGGCAGTCAGGCGTCAGGTGGCTCCGCGCGAGACAGTTGCGACAATAACCCCGGCGTTTCATATCGTTGGAAGGGGGTGTGGTCTCTTGGCATAATCGCAAGAATGTTGCGCGAGGCAGTTGCGTTGGACCTCCTCCGTGGTCGTCGATCGGTGGAATGGGGTTGGTTGGGCTGCCTACGGGCTTGGCTGGGCCTGCGTTCTGCCAATCACTTGTCCTGGTTCGGTAAGTAGGCGGCCATATCTGAAAGAAACAACAAAATGCGAATACAAAGTTCTTCTTCCTAGTGAACACCGACTAGTCAGTCGGAGAACAATTTGACTATTTTTGGGATGGGTCTTTTCGATTTGAATATATAATGTAGCTCCGTATGCGTTTTCTTAAGCATCGCAAAATTCATATATTTCCACGGAAACATCTACAGTGAATCTTATCCATTGCAACCTTCAGATATTCGATTTCTTTGCAGTTTTTCACAGAATTATTCCCGTTCATTTGGGTCATTGGCTTCAACAGGTCATCCCAGTCTATTTTATCTAGCCAGATTTGTTGCATTATTAACTTGGCTACAACCACGACTGGCGCCAGCCAACCGCAAGGGTCAAATAATTTGGGGATTGTTGATAGGACTTCCCGTTTTGTTGAGGTATTGTGAATTTCCATTGCCGGTGGTATGAACGAGACAAAATCGCCAGAAATATTCCATCTAATTCCCAATGTCTTTGTGGATGCATATTCCAAAATGTCTAACCAATTAAGCGGTAGTAATTTTTCTTGTGGAATATTTCCGATAGTCTTGTGGTCGTTTGATGCCCACTTCATGAGTTGAAATCCAGCCGAGGCTAAAGCGGCAGTTAATTCCTTAAGAGCTTTGATGGATTTTTCATCCGTGTGACCATCTGCTAATACATCATCCACATACAGATTATTTAAAATTATATTTGCGGGTCTTGGATACACATCCTTTATGTCCTCTGCCAGTTTTAGAAAGGTCCTCAATGCTAAATATGGCGCGCAGTTAATTCCAAATGTAACTGTAAGTAGTTCATAGTCATCGATAGGGTCATCATGTGACTGTCTGAAGAGAATTCTTTGAAATTTGGTTTGGTTCGGATCCAAAAGTATCTGCCGATACATCTTTGTGATGTCCGCGTTAAAAACGTATTTAAAAAATCTCC